TTTTTTTTTGTTTTTTTTGGGGGGGGGGGGGCGTTCACACTTCCAAACATATGCAACCTGTACTTGTATGTTCTCCAGTGTGAACTGCCAACAACCTGAAAGTGTCCCGCATGCGCAGTAGAGGGCGCAATAACATGAGCGCGTGCTCAGTGTTTTGCCAACCGCCATGAAAAAGAAAGAAGTGCTCAGAGTTTACGGAAGCAAACATGGATGCTAACGGTGGAGCATAGCTTACGATTTTGAAGTTGTTGTCCGACCGGAGCCAGCATATTAACAACTTAATCCTCATTATAGTCCGCCGTGGTTGTTATTATTCTTCCCGCTTGTGCTCATCAGGACGCAGAATAGTGACGTTTGTAGGATGCACCTGAACGTGCATCCTACGTTCAGGTAGGATGCACGTGGTAGGATGCACGTGGCCTGGACTTCAGGTCACATTAGAATCGGATATGTATTGGCTGTCAAGTGGCCTGGGTCGCATTTAAAAAAAAATCCGAGCTGTGTTGTTCAGACTGTCTTGAAAAGATCAGGTACATGTCGCATTAGGTCAAATTAAAAAATAAAAAAAATCAGAATTGGGTCTCTTCAGGCCGCAGTGTGAATGCAGCCTTTGATCAGATGGAACTAAGAATTTTATTAAGTTGTGTAAAGGTCTCAACAGTTCCAAATACCTGTCAGCTCTGCTTCAAACCTCCTGCTGTCTGCTGGAAGCTAAGGACGAAGAGCAATTTCAGTTTAGTTCTAAAAGAATTACTTTTGTTGATGAAAATTTAATTATCGGAAAGGTTAATTTAGGGTCAAAAACTAAACTTAAGAGACAATCAGCACAATTACCTAAAAAAAAAGGCAGTGGGTAAGAGATTTCCTTACATTCTGACAGACCTGGAGGATGGTACATGGCAGAGTGGGCAAATATCGTCATGTCAAAATGTAAGATGTTGACAGACTCATGCTAAAGAAGACTGAACATTGAGTCAAAATGTGTTTTAGCAAAGTGTTAGTCTAGGGTGGTTTGCACCTTTTTAATATCTTTCTGTCTCAGATCTTAATTTGTCTCTCAGCTACATTGTAAAGAATAATCTATTTTATGTGGAAACGATAGAAATGCGACCTCACTTTTTCAAATGACAAACACAAACACCTAGTGTTTCGGCACATGCATATCCACATTTGAAAGCCTTTGTATATAAAAAAACATTCTTCTTGATATGAAAGGCCAGATTGAGAAATGGGCCATCAATTTGGTGACCTCCTGGCAGGTTGCTCTCAGAGCAGCCGCCTCAACAGTGGACCTCCAAGCGCTGTTTTAATTAGGGAGAAACAGCCAGACTCTTGAAATATCTTTCCCCAAATAGAGCAGGACCGCTGGGAGGCAGTCCAGAATGCCTGTCCGCCACATAACACCAACTGCAGCGTCCCGTGTGTGATTGGACAATGGCTGCCAAGTGCACCTCACATTTCATTCATGCCACATGCATCATTATCTGATGAGGTTGCCTTGAGCATGTAATCCTGTTATCAATAGTCTGTGCACGCTGCGGGGAAGTGGCCGGCGCAACCAATATTACCTGACAGATGGTAATGATGAGGGCGGGCAGCAGGAACACAGCCACGGTCATCCAGGTGACGTAGGCCTTCAGCCCCCACGGCTCGGTGAAGTGACCCCAGCACTCGAACTCACCCGGAGCCACTTCCGAGCGGGAGAAGATGAACACCTGAGAGATGTAACAAGAACCTGTGGTCACCACTCCGTCAGACCTGACACAAAGTAGTTTCCAGTCACCTGAACTGTAGTGACCTCATATAGTTAAAAATAAACCACCAACAACTTGAGCTGGTCTGTTGAAGCCAGGGTGTGGAGGCCTGATTAGGGCTTATTTCTCTATTTCAACATGTTTGTGTGGGTGCGTGTGTGTGTATTTTGTTCGCCCCTCCCTACCTGCGGTATGCTGAGGACCAGAGCCAGGGCCCACGCCACTATCACAGGGGTGTTCCAGCGGGACATAGCCCCAACGCGGTAGGCCTGCAGCGGGCAGCAGATGGCATGGTGTCGGTCGACTGTCATGGCAACTATCATGTAGGAAGAAGCAAACATCCCCACAATCTGCAAATACTTGACGGACCGGCAGAGCAAGTCGGGCCCCTGGAACTTCTCTGTTATGTCCCATATCAGCTGGGGCAGAACCTGGACACAAACATTTAGAAAACCGCTATTAGTTGCAGCTCGTTTTAAAGCATTGTTGTTGTTGTTGTTGTTTTTTTGTTGTTGTGGTGCAGAAATGTAGAGGTGAAACACCGAAGGTCATCACAGGTGATACTGGGTGTTATCTCTGCTGCAAGGCTTATCCTTCTGCACCACAGGCTCCTATTCTTATCCAGACGCACATCAGTAAATCACAATGTTACAGTGGATTACGCACCTCCATGATCACCTTAACATCAAGAGTCTATTTATATGCACCCGAAAACTGTTCCAGCAATTGACCCTAAACTCATGTATGAAACTAAAGTTCACTACTTTAAAAAAATAAAAACGCTGAGCTACACACACACACACACAAAAATTTAAAATCAGCAAAACAGTGCCATTTTAGTTGTTCATTAACTGTCAGATTTTTCATTTGAGTCTCTGTTAATATTTCCATCTAATACAGATTAACAATCTTAACAGGCACAACCTACAGTGCCTATTGTTTTTATTTTGAGTTCTACTTTTTTTTTTTTTTTACATCCAGAAATATGTTTGTGTCAGGCAAATGTAAAGTGGTATATAATTTTCCCAAGCTTCTTTTCCCAAGGTTGCCGTGTTTTTAGCCCCATCAGGTCCCCCAACTGAACTGAAGAAAAGCATCTCCACATTTCAACCTAGGAGTGTGTGTGAAGGGTGTGTGCAGTGTTCAATCTTCTCTCCTTCTCTATATTCCGATTAGGTGACATCTGGAGGCTGTTGGTTGCGCTGGATTTTATTGAGTGCATTGTGTCACGAGGGCTGAATAGATGCATGTAATGCTTTTAAGCTGTTTTTTGTAGAAAGAAAAACTAATAAATCTAAACGGAAAATTTAAAAAAAATACATCACACGGTACTACTTTGTATATCAGATGAGATCTCAGTAGAATACATCGAAGTTTATGGGTCTGATAGGACAAGAAACAATCTAGAAATACGCCCTGCCTGCTATTAATACATTTTATTGTATTAAATAGACGATTGTATTGCATTATCATGACAAGCACATGAAAATCTTACTGAGACATCACATTACGGTTCTTATCAGCAAGAGTTCAAAGCTGCAATGATGTAACAGCATTTGAAAAAAGTGCAGTGGCAGAAAGTCGTCTGAACGCGTCATTAACATTACAAATTGTCATGATGGCACAAATTGGTTCCGTTTGGTTTATGCAAAACAAGACCTGTTATCAAAACAGACCTGGAACCAGTGAAGCCTCACGTTGGCACGCAAAAGAGCTGGCATGTTTACTCCGATTGCTTCTGGTTCCCTGCGAGATCTTCTTCTCTGAGGGAGCGGCCTCCAAAATGTGTTTTCCATAATGACGGAAACGTCAGCGCATAAGCGCAACCAGTACGTCTCTTTTACTTAGTTTTAAAGCCCTCTGGAAATATCTTGTCCGGATCTGAGATGCTAGATTGGCAAAACAAGTTGGTGGATGGTGATAGAGAGTTCAGAGGTGATCCAGTATTTTATGCAAACACATGCAGAGCAAATAAGATCTGGATGAGGTTGGGAAAGGAAAATATTCTTCTTTCTTTTAAGTATAATTCTTCTCAGGAACTCAAAACAAACCAGTTGTAATTTTGCAAACCAGCCAGGTGAACTGACCAAGATAAACCTGGAAGCCAGACAGTGTGCTCCGACCTTTGACCTTTGATTCTGTTGCAACATTGAGGACGTTGAGGACAAATTTGCACATTATGCGTTAAACTTAAGATTTAAACATTGCTCTATATATTTAAGAAAATAATGAACAGTTATTTATGTTTTCATTTATTTTTATTTGTTTGTTACTCACTTACTTATACTCCAAGTTAATTACCTATACAATTTATTTAGTTTATATTTTCATTAACTTTACTTTCTGACCTAACTACTTACATTCTTCCTCGCTTATTTACTCACCTGATTGTGCACTCAATCACTTGCTTACTTGTATACTAACCTAATTACTTTCTATTGTACATATTTTCTCAACTACTGATTTTGTAATTATTTACCTATTTCTTTAATCACATATTTTCTTACTTATTTGTCCAAATATTTACTTAGTTTCTTGCTTATGTTTTTACTTAGCTACCCACCAAATTATATGTTTTTTTTTATAGACTCAGTGACTTTGCTATTTCTTTCTTTCGCTCTCTTTCTTTTTTCTTTCTTAACATTGCTAAAATTAACTATTTATTAGTGGTATTACAAACTAGCCAAATTATTTACTTTCTTAGTCAGTTACTTTTCTTAGTACTGAATTACTGATTACTTACTCACTTACTTATATGCCTAAATACTCACCTTCCTACTACTTACCTTATTATCTATTTGCTTACAAGTCTAATTGTTTTCTACCTTAACTACTTGCTTTGTTTCTTATTTACCTGATAAATTATCTAATTAATTACTTACTTAGTGACTTATATATTTAACTACTTAATACATTGATTACTTACACGATTTCTTATTTTTTAATTACCCATTAACCTACCTAAAGTCACATTCTTACATATGTTTTCCTTCCTAATTACTTACTCGTCTACTTCTTTGCTTACCTAAATAATTGCTTATTTACTTCGACAATTTCATAAAGGATAACTTGTCACCTTTTGATCTGCTGTCAGTGCTTGAGTTAAACTAGACGAACTGACCTGAAAGAGCGCCACCACCAGGTCAGCCACACACAGGTTGACCATGAACAGGTGCATCGGTGCATTGTGCTTCCTCCTTCTCAAAAGCACCCACAACACGAAGCTGTTGCCCAGCGTGGTGAGAGCCAGCACCACCCCCAGGATGGCGATCTCGGCCCTGGCCAGGCCTGGGTCCCTCACCCTGGGCTGAGGAACGGTGTGAGCCGTGGTGTTGGAGCCGTTCTCTATTAAGAGCCCAAAGAGGGACCCTCCGCCGCGAGAAATGTTGAACGAGTTCAGCTCAGTGACAAACGAGGAGACGTTGTTTCTTCCCGTGGCGCCCGGAGAGGAGAGACCTAACCCATCCCAGTCTGTTTCCACGCTGATCCTTTCCATTCCTGAGAAAACAAGCAAAGTGTTAATGTGTTTATTGTTTAGAAAAACAATTTCCGGCTGAAGACAACAAGCAGAAGTTAAACTTGGACACGCACTCAGAAAGAAGCCTGTGTACACGCAGTCTTGTCACAACACAAGTATCATGTTAGATAATTAAATTAGTCATTATTAAATTATCCAAATGGAAACTATGTTTTTATTTGCTGGGTTCTGTTGGGTGCTTTTTTTTTTCTTCAGTTTTTCATATTTATCCAAACTCTTGGACCTTTTAAAAGACGAGGATTCGCATACTGACCACAGGCTGTTTGTTTTTGGAACATCAGGAAAAATTTCACATTATGCGCCACAAATAGATTTTCCTAACTAGTTTTATGAAGTTTTGACTGAAAGGTAGACGTTGCGCCGATCATGTTCCATTTTGGTGCTTTCTCTGGTTTTTTTAATAACCCGAAAACGTCTCCGCTTGTCCATCTTTCGAAACTTCCAATTTTTTTCTGACGCAAGTCCACTTCAGCTTATTTTCTTTTTCAAACTTTCTCAAGGTTGAATTGACAGTTTTTCCCGTTATCCCACCAGCCTACATCCATTCACCTCTGCTCTCAATCGCTCTCATCCCATGGTTACCCCAGCCCCCAGCATTCCTGTTTTCCCTTGTTTTTGTTCCCTTCTCTGCAGAATTTTCTCTCTCTCTCTCTCTCTCTCTCTCTCTCTCTCTCTCTCTCTCATATACATTGTTTCATTCTCCCCCCCCCCCTTCCACCATGTCGCCCCGGCTTTTTTTCGCAATAAACTTTTTGGTTTATTTTTCTTTGCTTCAAAATAAATGCCAAATGAGAATGGAAAGTTGAGAGGGGTGAGATGATAATTTGAGAAACAGAGTCATGGGTAGCTCGGGGTGAAGGGTTCAAACTTGGTCAAATAAACTGGATGCAGGCTGAAGGATGTAAGGACAAACAAAGGGACTGGAAAGACAAGACATAAAGTCCAAAAATACATTTGTTGTAGGACATACGGTCTGAAGATTTTGTCACAAATGTTTCAAATTATTAAAAGAAACGACATCAGACAAAGACAACCAGCTCCTTCTCTTAGTCCATGAGGAAGACACTCTTTCTACTTTTAAGGAGAAGCTTAAAACTTTTCTTTTTGATAAAACTTGGTTGACGTTATCCAGAGATATCGTATGCTGCTTCAGACTTTGGCTGCTGGACGACAAACTGACCACCGTTCCTCACTCTGCTGCTTTCTTCTTCTACTACTCTCCAATTTACATCATTTGTTGTTATTTACTACTTTACACTGTTTCTCAGTATTTTTAGCTCCATAAAAGTGTTTAGCTTTGGCTCTTTTCTGAAGGGGATCGTCACTTGATATGATGTGAAGAACTAAACGCTCTTCTTATGCTCAACTTTTTACTGTTCTTTAACATCAAAAGTTTATTTTTTTTGTCCTCTTTCATTGGAAACATTTGTGACAAAAAGAAAAAGAAAAAAATCTGTATATAAAAAAAGACTTTTTAAATCAGACATTGCACATTGCAGCCTTTTAAATGTAAATATATGCTCTAGTGCCCTGGCCTTGTAATATAGCTGAACTGCAGATAGATTTGCTTTTCATCAGTAGTCTGATCTCTTAATGGCTCAATACATATTAGTGAGGGGGATTGGGAATAACTGTTTAGTTTTTCCTTTATTTTTTTTTGTCCTTCCAAACTGTTTCTGTAATCTTCAAAATGAATCTTTGAGCCTTTTGTTGGTGAAGCCTTTCATTGTAATTTTACTCGGGCACCTACGATATACCCCTGGTGCAGCTGTACCAGTAAAATATTTACAATAACAATTAAGGTGGCGTTACCTCTCAGGATCCATGTCCTATGAATTATCACCAAGTGCCATCTGATTGGCTTCCTCACGGTTTAATAACTTCTGTGTCTTTCAGTACAAGTGTCACAATGAATGGATGCCACCCCTATAAATAGCCCTGAACCGACCGGCGATGATATTGAGCGATCAGATGTGACTAATACTCCATTATGAGGTTATTGTCACCGCTACACTGAGGCCTAATGACCAATTTGCAAATAATAACCCCTTCAGTGACGGCCTTGTGAGATAACAGAGCTTATAATACCCCCGGCCTGATGTAATGGCTCTGCCTGAGGAATTTTTCAAGCGGGTCCAGCAGGTCCTCTGTGTCCAACAGGAGGTTGGAGATGTGGTTTTGGTTTATAAGATTTCCTACATGTGTTTTTTTTTATTATTTTTAATTATTATTCCAATAAAATATTAAGTCCAACCAGAAATATTGTTTGAATTCAGAGCTTCAGAATGCCTTCCTATTACATTTTAATTATATTCCTCTGCACACAGCAAGGTCTTCCACTCCACCAAGGGATCTTCTGACCTTGCGTTGGTACAACTCATGTCCTTCTCTGTAATTACAGCATAATTTACGAGCTCATTAATAAGAGCTGCTGTGCTACTTCCAAACCAATAAATAATCTTATTAAAAAAACGTTCCCTGTGTCATCAGTTTCTCATGTGAAATCCCATATTTTTTCCCGCTACATGTGCAAATGAAGTACACGGAGGTCATGGAAAAATAATTACGAGTATTGGAGGAAAATCAAATAAACTTATATTAAGTTTAAGCAGAACAATCAATTAATTTCATGCAGAGGTGTACGTCTGCAAACGTCTCTCTTCATTTTAAGCTCCTGCTGCTCTAAGCTCTCAAAGGACATTGTGTTTTTTAGCTAAACGCTTCAGCTTCATTTGCTTTGCTTGCGCTTCACAGACAGGCTCCCGTCTACTGGCTCAGTGGGCTACACGAACAGGAGAGCCGAAAACTTCTGCCGCTCATATTTCCCGTATTCAAAGAGGAAAGCTCGCCGCTGCATGGTGAGAGAACATCACGTCTCCAGAACCGTGCCGGATACGGTTTAATGTATTCCAAGCACATTGCATCAATCCCCGTATGTCCAACTGGCTTAATGTAAAGCTCAAATTATCCCATCTCCCCACGCTGGATGGACTGTAAACACCGCTTTTAGGAGTTGCTCCACTACATTGCTTCCCCTCTTTCCTCTAAAGCTTTCAGTCTGATTAATGACAGAGTTGGAAACCCCACACACGCCCAAAAGCCCTCCCTCCGCCTTCCTCCCCACGGACAAGCTGATGTGCAACCATCCATTTACCGCTCTGTCTTGTGCTGCCTTCTAGCATGAGGCCCAAACATACAAAGCCTCAGGCAGACAGAAACAGATTGTTAAAAGTGTATAAAAACATTACAAGTCAGCCCCTCGCGCCTTTTCAGTCTTTTCTACCACATGTTTCGGTGATTCTCTTAAATGACATCATGTGCAAGCAATGCCAAGTTAAAAGGGCAATAAAAGTTCAGGACCAGATGTCCTAAAGAACATTTTTTAGGTGAACATGGTTGACAAAGTGTTTAATTGCAGAGACACATAAAGAGTGCTCTGAGATGATCCTTGTCTTTACAAAAGCCCTGAGAAAAATAGCAGTTGTCTTTGTGCCTTGTTTGTCTTTACTATTTTGAAGAGGGGCTGAGAGAAGTGGCCGTCTGTGCCAGTTCATAGTTGTACTTCAGGCAAATAGAAGATCATGGATGGAAAAATCCTAAACCAGGGATCATCAGTCGTCACAATCCAAAGTGTCCCACTTCCTCCTGCCAAATAACGTTTCTGTACTGAAGGAAAAACCAACATAACGCTGAGAAGATAAAAAACCACAATTTCTCAAAATGTAAAACAAGGTTATGTTTATTTAATAGTAAGAATTAAGGAAATGCAACCATGTAGTTTTGAGACAAACAAGACAACACTTAGGTCTGTGAAACAGTCCTTGTTCCAGGATGGAAAATAAATAGAAATGGATTAACATTTCTTCTTCTTTTTCTTCCTCTTCTTCTAAATGTCATTAACCGTTATGCTGAGTTTCTCTGTTGTGAAATTACAAAATTCTTCAGTTACATTTAATCATTCAAATTGTAAGAGGTGTCAACAAATGTGCTACCAAAAGTTTTGCAAAAAAATAAAAAATAAATAATTTTTCTCATACTAAATAAGTGTATATATATATATATATATATAATATGTACACAATTTTTTCATATTTTTCAGGGTTACGTCGTGCCTTGGATGGATTTGGAGGGATTTGTATAATGTCAGTTTTAAGATGATCTGTGCTGCATCAGTAACTGAGAATGGCATTAAAAAAATATCCGGTAACACTTTATTTGAAGGGGTGTGCATAAGACAGACATAACACTGTCATAAACATGACATAACATCTGTCATGAATATGAACAAGTCCTTATGAATGTCTGACAGTTGTCATGAAGTGTTAGTCGGTAAATAATGACACTTTTAATGCAAAGTTGCTTTTACAGTTGCATTAAAAGTCCATTAAAAATGCCAACTTTGCATGATTTTGTAAATAATGACAATTTAATGCAACGTTGGCACTTCTATTAAAAGTATAACAAATAAAAGTTAAACAAAAGCACATTTTGTCAGAAAAAATGATGAGGCGTTAACCTGGCTATTCATGTATCCAAGTCTGTTACAAACTGAACAAAAAAAAAAAAAAAAAAAAACAAAAAAAAAAAGAGTACAAAAGAGCCCCCCTAAAAAGGCTGAAAAGCTGAAATCAAGAATATTCAAAACATATTGTTCTCCCAGAATGGCAATAATAAACTTGTCAAACTCTTACAAAGCTCGAGGAAAACGACATGATGAAACCCTCTCCCTGTCTGATCAGAAAAGACTTGCATAAATATTCCATTATGTCAGAAAACAAAACGATCGCTTGTACATGCCGAATCTGTTTTCTTGTAATTGAATACAGTTAAAAGGTTAGGAGAATGTTTTTAGTATTATAAAGAGACTTTTAATTGTCTTGAAAGGTTGTCTGTCTGTGCGGCAAGATGATAAAAGTATTGAAGAATTCAACAACAACAACAAAAAAAATCATTAAAGCCAAGTTTGTATTATAAAACTGAGACTACAGTGATGTCTATAGAATATTTATATTAACCATCTTTAACCAAATAAGTATTTTTAAGGAAACCAAGATGTTTTTTGTGTCAAGTGGCGAGAAACAAGTTTTCACACATTAGGTGTTGTAATCCAAACATAATTAGAAATCAATCACCTTCCCCTGCAGCCTTGCTCGTCTTGATTGCACTTGTCAGTCCCTTGATTAGTTTCCGTTGACAAGGTCCAAGCCGATCTGATCGATGGGAACCTCTCAGTCCTCATTAGCAGCCCTGCGTGAACCACAACAACATGCTGCAGATTCCCTCCTCTAATCTTCTCTTCGTCTGTTTTTGTTCTCGCCTCTCGTTTTCATCACTTCTTCGCTTCGCCATCTGTCAAAGTGCCTCCAGTACGTCTAATTGTTATTTAGCAACAAATAACTCCTAATTTATGGGGTGTGGCAGCAGGAAAAGGCACGCTTAAAATAAATCCGAGCTGACAGGCACTAAACATTTGATATAAGCTTGTTACTGGGAGTATCATATGCAGCTGTCCTTCATACAGCATGGCACTTCACATACAGATCAATAGGTTCTTACAGTGTAAAGGCTTGGATGAGTCATGTGGTGCCGCCGGTTTGGACGGCTGACATTTCATCTGCATGATAAAGTGGCTGTGACCACAATTTCATCTTTGAAACCCCATATTTCATCAGAACCTCGCTATCGCGCTCACATCCAGTGTAAATTCACCTTCCGAATGATTCTCAATGACATCTTGATGCTATAAATGCGCTTATGCATTTCAATTTGTGGAGGGTAAATTCAAGGCTTTGTATTACCGACTGCCTCTCTGTTAGCATGGGTTGACTAAAAACTTTGAGTCCAAAACCATCCAAAAGGTCAAATATTGTTGAATATTATCGGAGGTCAAATATCATTTATGTGGCCCCTTGAAAATCTAGAGGGCCACATGAATAGAAGGTTCAATGTAACATTTATGTGCTTAAATATTTTTAATCAATAAAATCAAATCTGCTTTTATTTGTAAAGTGTCAAAATACAGAAGTGTGAGCAAAGCTTCAATATTTAGCTGAACATTTAATATCAATATTAATGATCAGTGGAGATAGCCGATTGTTAATATTTTGTTTGTTAACATGCAGTTTTATCAATGCATCTAATCAACACCTTCAGCCATTTGAGGATATTTATGACCTAGATCAGTTTTTCTCAACCCTGGTCCTCACAGCCCCCCTGCTCTGCATGTTTTAGATGTGCCTCTATTCCAGAACAGCTGATTCAAATGACTGCATGACCATCAAGTGCTGCAGAAGCCTGTTAATCACCCAGAGATGCAATTCAGGTGTGTGGCAGAAGGGAAATGCCTAAAACATGCAGGACAGGGGGGCTGTGAGGACCAGGGTTGAGAAACACTGACCTGGAGCATATGGACATTCAAACCTATCTGGGGATATGTGGTAAAGTGGTTGCCCACTTTGTGTTTGGTGTCTTTATTTTGGTTTAATTTTGCTCACTGTCACGGGACAGCACTAAATATGTGGAGGAGGCTAAAAGTAAATGATGCATTCTGAGTCAATCTAAAGAAATTTAGGAAAAGATGAGAAACAAAGACATTGGCATCTATCAGCCTGGAAAGAGTTAGAGAGACATTTCTAAGGCATTTAGGTTGCAGTGAACCACAGAGCCATTATCATCCACACACTGAGAAAACATCAGGGAAGCTTCCCGGAAGTGTCCAGTTTATCAAAATCAGTCTAAGAGGATATCACCAGCACATCCAGGAGGCGGCACGGATTTCTTACAAAAGTTCTTACAAAATAGTGGGACACTTACATTGGGTGGAAAACTTACGCAGCATGTCAGACAAAAGCAGACAATTACCCAAAACGCATCTGTAAGTTTGCCTCGAACTAAACAAACAAAATAAAAGCAGCCTAGAAAAACCTCCAATGTGGCTGTGCAGAAACAATTTTGCAAGCAACAGACAAAATTTCTGCTAATCAGTTATCGCAAATGCTGACTGGCAGGAATTGCTGCAAAGCGTGGCAAAACTCAGCAATTAATATTAAGGCGACATTAACTTTTTAAAATCGGCAGCAGGTTGGTTTTGACAACACTTTTCCTGTAGTTATTGAAAGCACTATTTTAAAACTGCTTTTGGCATTTATTCTGATTTCCATTCTGTTATCAACATTACTTTGATGATCTGACATTTTTCAGTGTACCAAAAAAAAAAAAAATAAGTAAAGTAATCTAACAACGCTGAGACTCCAGCACTATAAGCAAACCATTTAAGCTGATAATCGATTAAACTCATTTATGGGACGCATGAGGTTTCTCAGATGAGAAAAGGAAGGCACTGAGTTATCCACTGACACTCGATAATCTAACATCATCACCCTTTGGAAACTTTCAGCTGTTCCTGACGCTGTCTCGTGCTTTTTTTTTTCTTTCATTCATGCATTTTTACACATTTCTCTTCTTCTAATATAAAATAAATACAACTATGATGGGCTTCAAGCCCCAGTATTATTGAGAAAAGTTAGAAAAATGGAGATCTGTGCTCTTGAAATTTTAATGATGTGAAGCCAAACCTCGTTGGGCTTATTTATTAGGGTCACTGACTGACCTCCTCTCAAATGAGGTTAGCTGCGTCTTGCATTCACACACACAAAAAAAAGGCAGGGAGTGCGTTTCCCTCCTTCAGCCAATGGGGAGGTCTGATGCAGAAGAGGGTCCAAGTCCTCTTATCATTACTGATAATGTCTGCTCATGAGACCATGGGCTGTTTTCCTTGTTATGTATCATTAACTAGTGCACCAACATCAAACCTGCGCCTTACACAAAACCGGATGTCACGCAGGCTATGTAAAATTCAGAGCATCGCCCCTGCAGACTGAGAAGAAAGCTGCAGTGTTACCACTTCAACTAAAATAAGCCTGGAGGTTGGCAGCTGATATGGTCAGACCTGCACCACATGATGGAATGATTCCCTTTTAGAAACCGGGGCGAACAGACTGTGACAATAACAGTGTTGATTGTGATTATTCCTGGCGGGGGCCACAATCAAGCGGCTGATTTTGTGCACATCGTTAGAAAAAAAAAAAAAAAAATTGCTTTTTTCGGGGAAAAGTCAGCTTCCTGTTTTCACTTGCTGCGGTTTCTTGATTCCACTGATAAGCCAGACAGATTTACTTCAGAGCTTAATTTAGACACCATTCTGACATAAAGACATGTTTCACTGTGAAAACTCTGCGATTATCACTTTTGCTGGCAAAGAAAATATTGCTGTATAAATGATCCCCTCTGTTTTGGTGAATCTCCCTCTGAAGTCAGGCACGAAATCATTAATCTTTGAGAAACCAAACGCCCAACAATCTCCTGCTTGGGATAAATCTTCTCTGGCCATATTCAGAGCCATAATTTTCTCATTTAACAATATGGGCAGGACATTAATATTTTTTGAAAAAAAAAAAAAAAAAAAAGCTTCAGATAAACCGCACACATAGGCTGCACAGGCAGGCAAGCGCAAGGTGAGCATCATGCCTCAGTCACGTACCTCGCTGTCAGTGCATTGTAGGTTGCCTCATGTGTGTCCTTGGTTTCTCTCTCCCTCTGTTTGGGTATAAGGCAAAGTGTTAAGAGGCGTCATCATTACAGTCCATTAATATTACATGCTACAGCGGCTCACATTAACAACCTGACAGTCCCCTCCTCTCTCTCTCATCCCTATCCCCCCAGACCTTCTCGCTAATCCATGGAAAAACTTAGACAAACAAGTTCTCTGGGAAGAACTGGGGCAAAATACTTCAGATGGAGGACAGTCAGCAAGACATGAAATACTGTTTGACAGTGTTGTGTTGTATTTGTTTAAATCCAGCATTGATGTCAAAATAAATAAAAAATGTCATTTCATGTTGTTGTGATAGAAGCTTGAAAAAAGTTTGTTTTTTTTCACTTTCTTACTGAGATATTCCAGCATCAGATGGAAATATTGACTCTAAGAGTATATTTTTGATATGAAAATGAATGAAAGTGTTTTTGTCGATATATATTTAAGGCAACACGTCAAACACGCAACGTTTCCATATGTGACATCATGGAAAAGTCAATAGAAATCAGCCAGCGTTAACAGGGAGAAAACGGAGGACCTCCACACGTCTGGTTCTTCCTTGGGGACAATTTCCAGATGCCTGCAGGTGCCACATTCGTCTGCTCAAGTAATTACACAAAACTGTAAACACCGTGAGAGTGTCCAGCTATCAAACAGTTCAGCTAGGAGACGGCTGCTGTGTCCCAGTGACGAATGTGCCTTGGTGTGAAATGCGAGTATCAACTCTCGAACAAAAACAAAAGACGACTCGAAGACACTGGTGGAAGTTTGTTATGGCGCGTCATTATTGTAAGTGAAACTAAAGCTGCAATGGAAAAAAAAACACTCAGGGAGGAAGAAGACAGTAAAAAGGCAAAGCAGACAAACGCATTTAATTTTAGTTTAAGCTAAAAACGAGGGGAAACTTAAGAACACCATCCTAGCTGTGGGGTGGCAGCATCATGATGTGGGCATTGTTCAGTGTTTGCAGGAGGGACAAAAATACATGACATTACAAGGAAAGAACAACACATGAAAATATTAAATCAACATTTCAAACGGTTTGAGCACAATATAAAACGACCCAAATCACAATGTAAGAGTAGACCTGAAGTGGCTTGAGGACAACAGTGTCAGCGTGTTGTGAGTGTCCGGAGCAACATTTTTCGGGTGGGGCGTTAAAGGTGTGTTTGTGAGCCAAATGGCCAACGGTTCTGACTCAGCCATGTTTGTTCTGTCACAATGAGTCACAATTAGGGCAAATGGATGAGGAAGGTTTCTAGAAGGAGAACACTTGACCCAAGTCGCACAGTTTGAAAGGTCATTCCACCAAATACTAAGGAGCAAACTATGAAAAAAAAAAAACCTGATTATTCTGGCATTTAGGAAAATAAAATAGCTTTGGTCACCTTGATTGACTCAAAACAAGAAACATTTTGACAGATTTAATGTCACACGGCGAGGATTGTTTGTAAATTCTAGTTATGCTTCACTTGACAAACACTACAACAATTATATACATGTAGTTATATATAAATACTTAATAATATGTTTGATATTATTTGTAATTATGTATAAAAATTTTAACCACATTTTTTTTCCTGACTGCTCTGGCATAACATTCATAATTTCAATGACCCATTTCATTTTTTTTTATGTGTGTCATTTCTAATTTATGTACAAACATCATATTAAGAAATCCCTCAACAGCAAAAGGATTTTTATAACCTGTCATTGATTTTCATCTTGTGTATTTGTCTTTTTTGAATGTTTTATATTTGTGTTTATATAGTCCTGTCGAAGACAAATTTCTATTTCCTTTGGTTTCAGATAAATCCATGTTTCTGTTTCTGTTCTATTTTAAATAAGACAATGTTGAGCTTATTTAATGCCGATGATGAGTGTATGACTTTGTTTTAACGTACATGTAGCATATCATCTAATTAATAGTCAAAATGTGCACAACACAACAATATTTACAGTTACAACACTATATTTTCCCCGTGAAAACATAAACATACACTGTGCTGACTCAGGTCCACCAAGAAACAAATATGGATTCATTTTATTATTTTGGCCGGAACATGAAATGAACAACATTTACAGAAGATAAAAATTATTAAATATCTATAAATAGCATCGTTTCTGCCTAGGTGATAGTATAAAAACACCAACATGACACAATACAAATCAGTGTCAGCCATAAAAATAAAAAAAAAATCACCTCTGACTAAGGAAAGATTTCTACTTACTGCTGTCCTGCTTTTGTTCTCAGATCCAGATTAAAACCTTTAGTTCTTCAGCGTTTTCAAACACTGCTCACCGTCCCATCAGCTGACTCCTCAATGAATCTGTCAGAACTGAAGAAGGAAAAAAAAACATGGCAACTTTTTTCCTGGCCAGTGCTTCAAAGACAGAGTCTGTGCAGGTCCCCTTATGTTGTCCTTTCTGGCTGTAAGTCACAACTGTTTATTGGTGAGGTCCATTTAAAAGCCATGTGCGTCTCAGTTCTTTTCACTCCCTCGATTTGCTTTTGCCCATTGTGCCGTGCCTCCAATACCACCAGCACAACTGAATTTCAGCTCCGTGTCCCCCACCCTCCCCCCCAACCCCACAACCCCGACTTCCCACCTCCTGTTCTTAGCTTTCTCCTCCTCCCAGGTCAACCAGCCTGTCCTCTGTGACTGAGGGTGGAGCCTGCTGTCAGCAGCGGAGGGAGGATGTTACACATACCTATGAAGAGAGAGAGAGAGTGTGTGTGTGTGTGCGTGTGTGTGTGTGGGCATGTGTGTGTATGCGCGTTTGCGTGTGTGTGTGTGTGTGAGACAAAAACAGACAGGGACAACTCTGTTCATACATGTGTGCGTGTGCTGTATGTGTCCGGGGCTGCGACGTGAAGAAGAAAGCCATGTTTATTATTGTGAGGAGGACAGACCAAGGTGAAGGTTACTCAGCAACCCTCCCATCCCCTTTCCAATCTAATAATTTGTCTCTTGTATAACTCATTGGCTGTGTTTGTTTTAAATTCAGGCTCACACCTTTTGTGGAATGCTTTTTTTTTAGTTGTTGTTGTTTTTTACTCCTTTGTTGATGGAGGACAAGAACCGGAGCACCTGGTGAGGAATGAGGGGCGGCTGAGTCAGCTGGGTCACACCCTTGATGTATTCACTTGGGTTTACACAAAATAAATAAAATGATTATGTATTTAAATTTCAGCATTACAGCTCCTTCTCTCTCTCTCTCTCTCTCTCTCTCTCTCTCTGCCCCTGTTTCTCTCTCTCTTGGGTGTGTACGGTACTTGTGATTGTAAGGAAATACTGCTGGCATGCATGAAAACATTCACAGGTGTGCACAAGGGAGGGGTTGGCGGTTCACAAACCTACGTTTGCTCCAACACAAATACACAGAAGAGGCAACAGGAAAATTGTGGCTATAAAGAAGCATTGCAGTAAAACTTTCCGTCATTGTGTTGCTTTACAGCCAGAAACTGTTTAATCTGAAATGTTTTTGATAGGCAAAATATGAAATAGTGCATAGTTGTGAGATGGAAGGGAAACGTGGCAGTGTTTTCGATTTCTTTGCATAAATAAAAATCTGAGAAGATTTGCACGCGCATATTTTCAGCTCCCTTCACTTTGAAATCTCTAGACAAAACTGCAACCGAAGCCGTCCTATAGGTCAATCACTTAGTTTTATCATATACCAAAACAGAACGTAACTGAAAAGTGGACAAAACTCTTCTAAAACTAAAATAGTGTATAGGATATATTTATTTTGAACGGCCAGTCAGAACAGCTTCACATCTTTAGGGGACGTTTCTATGCTGCACATTAAAAGGACTCAAATTTGTGGTGATTTTTCTTTGTGAAATAGATGTGGTTCAGTCTGATTGGAGGAAAAATTTCTGTGGGCATCGATTTTTAATTCTTGCCACAGAATCTCAGTTGGATTATCGTTTCATCACCTTTGGCTCGACCATTCCAACTCATAAATATACTTTTATTTAAATGCTTCCACCTTTGCCAAGGCTGTATGTCTTGGCCCAGCCGGAGGGTGAATGACTGCCTAAGTCTCAAGAATTTTAGATATTTGGTGTTGAGCTTTCTTCCAGGATCACCGTGTATTTAACCCCATCTTATGAAGGAAAACATCCCCAGAGCCTCAGGCCTCCAGCACCGGTTTTTACTGGAGGGATGTTTCAGGGCGATATTTTTTAGTCAGCGCACAACATTTTTGCTGCCTTTTAATACCGCAGAGCACAAAAATGGACGCTATAAATTGGGTGGCGTCTGAAGCCGGTTGAGTGAATGGGAGCAACATTTGTCAGATCTTTACATGCAAACTTTAAAAAAAAAAAAAAAAAAATCATGCGTCGTTTTCCTTTGACTTCACAACTTTGTGAATTTGTGTCGGTCTCTCAGAGAAATAGTTTGAAGTTTGCAAAAGTGAATTATGTCAAAACGTGAAAAAAAGTAAAGGGGTATGAAAAATTTGCAAAGTGCTCCGAGGTAAGGTAATTTTATTTATATAGCACATTTTCAGCAAAAAGGCAATTCAAAGTGCTTTACATGAATTAAAAGGAAATACAAACAAAATAACAAACCAAAGGAAAGAGCAAAAGAAGAAAAAGAATCTAATAATGTTGATCCAAAGTATATAAACTAGATGCTCCTGTTCATGGATGCTAGATAAATGTAGGTATCCAAGATCTGGTCTAATTCCTTTAAGTTAAGAAAAGTAATGCAGCTAAACTGTTTTTTTCCACTAAACTTTATGGGACGGAGGGTATCTACAGACATTTATCTTTGTAATATTTAAACCCGAGCCACCCTCCTCAACAATCTGATACCAGCTAAAGTCAGAAGACGTGTTTCTTTCCCTCAGGTATTGCTTGACTCGCCTCCTCAAGCTGAACCATTTTGTCCTAAGCTGAAGAGGTGGGACAATAAGTTTCACTCTAACATGATTTTCCTGGCTGCCTGGATCCTGGAGAACATTTTGTTTTAAAGCAGTAAAGCAGCTAAATTAATCCAATTTGCTCACTGCCAAAATTGACAACTGATGAGCCTGAGGGGGAGATAAGAAGAGATTCTAGTAAAAAAAAAAAAAAATCATGAAATAAATAAATTCTTAAGGTCATGACCAAAAAATTAAAAAACAAAAAATCTCCAGATATATGTAGTTTTTTTTGGGGGGAGGGGTGGGTTTGTTCCAATACAACATTTTTTCTGCTCTGTCCATCATCCACTGGAGCACCTTTTTGCTTAACATGTTAAGTCGCTTGGCAGGAGCGAAGCTCAAAAGGAATGTGGAGACTTTAAATATCTCAGATCATGACAGTCTTTTCCTTTGAGATTTCTGGCTGGTCATTCTCCCACATGTTGGAGCTTATTTTCAGCTGCGGTTTGAGCCAGAAATGAAAACGACAGCTGTTTCTCTTTGAGATGGGTTCTCACCTGCTAACACCTCTACCCTAACTCCTTTCTGGGACCTTTTTTGGGGTTTTTTTTTTGCACAAAGATTTCTTACAAACACCCAAGAAAGGCTGCATAATAAGCCGTACGGTCAGTGAAGTCAGAGGCCCTGCACAGTGTGAAGAAAAGTTTGATGGAAACACTAGAACACGCCAAAGGGAACTCCAATAAAAAGAGAAAATAAATCAATCATGTTCACTTTCCAGCCCAAAGAAGTTGGCAGCAGACGGGGTTACCTTCAGCTGGAGCTGAAGGTAATATATATATATATATATATATATATATAGTGGGAAGTTCATTTAAAAGAGTCAAGCTGTCACACAGTACGGAAAAACACCACCAGGCCATTGGAAAGAAAAATGTTGGGGAACATCTGAGGGAATCATTAACCGTCGGATGACCAATAAATACCCGAGACGGACGGAGAAATTGGGGTTCGTCTTTTTTTAGGGCTCATAATAACCAGGAAACCCAACATCTCAAAGCTCCTTTTCATGAGATTACTTTTGCAAACCTGTAACTGGCCTTCGAAAGGATGCATTCCACATCTGCTTCAAGCATCTGGGTACAGCTTTAATGTTGAGCCACAGAAATGGTTAAAAAAAAAATGAAAAATGGTAACTGTATTCTAATTTTCTTTTATTAAAGGTAATAATGTGTAATGAAACACTTCAGTCTGGACAGCTCAACTAGTTCTGTTTTATCTGTAAATGCTGTTTTCCTCGGCTTTGTTTTTTTTTTTTTTTTTTTTTTACGAAACCGTCAAATGTGGCGTTCACAGGACAAATTTCTGTCAAAATGTCTACTTTCTTCGCAAATTTCTTAACGTGTCAGAAAAACAACTGTTGAATCTTTTGAATAAAAATCCTAATGTTGAAGTTTTTTCTAAATGGAAAATCAGATAAAAAAATATTTGAGTATTACATTTTCATCATTTTACATTTAAAGTCACTGCAAGACTTCTTACAAACAAAAATCTGAAAAGTGTTGTCTGACATGTGTATCCATTCTTACTGAGTAAATGAAAAGCTTTTACTAATGAGTATCACTGTCAAAGTCAGAGTGCAGACGTCTAATAAGTATCTAGAAACAGGCTAAATATCCAAATACTTTTTACGACCGTTTACATAAGCCTGTGGGTCTGTGTCAAGAAGACAAACATTATTTATTTTTATCATGTTTAACTTTATGATAGAGTTTACAAAGAACAGAACACAATCTAAAGATGATAGATTGTGTTTTAAATGTTAGAGAGGCAACAGAAAGAGGTGTATGTTCTTAAAACAGCTTTGTGATCATAATTTGAACAGTTCTTTAGCTGTAATTAACTCACTCTGGCTATGAGCGACTGTTTAGATTTTGTCCGATTTAGATGTTTAAATATCACTTGCAGACAAATTTGTGATTTCATTGTGCACTTATTTCGAGTGAGGAAATTAATCAAAGCTTAAAAACTGGAAGGAGAGATTGAAAAGTCAAACCCAGATGCATTCTGCACCATGGCTCCAAAATAATCTAGGCTCTGGTTTACCAACACGAAGAGTCAGAAGAAGCAGTCTTATCGTTTCGTGGGCTAATAAAGTGAGACATACATCTTGCTGCAGGTTAACAAGTTCTAGCTGGAGCTCATCTGAGCTAATCAAGGCAGACTTAAAAGAGTGGCAGAGGAAACGGGGACTTCTCAGTTCTTTCTGTGGTTAATTGGTTCCAGTTATGGAAGCATTACCCCTGCTTCTAGCCTCTGATCCTTGGATGGACTTCCACACCAAATACTCACCTTCTCCTCCTCATCCTGGATCATCCAGATCTCCTCAATGCTCCCTGTGCCTGCCTTTCATCCTCACCAGGAAGCAGAATTTGACAGATGCACCATCTCACTCTGCTGCTCACACATATTACACACTATTTCCTCCAGGACAAACATCTGCAAGAATCAAATAAGAGCAGATCATCACTGAGTTGTTTCATTTCCTTTATTAAATGGTAAACGGCCTGTACTTGTACAGCTTTTTATTGAGGCCAGAGATCCCCAGAGGGCTGCACACATTATTCACACATTCACACACTGATTAACATCTTTCATACTTCTCCTCACAGTTCCTTAGAAAACACCTGCATTATTTACGTTCATATTAGCACGTTAACCAGTTACCTGTATCCGGAGCTGTTTCTGCACCAGACAACTGTGAGCAAACATGATGCACAGGCCTCCTTTTTTTTTTATTTTTTATTTTTTTTATTCTGGTTAATATAAAGCTGTGCTGATTCCAGGGAGCAGAGAGGCTGGATGTAAAAACTGTCTCAGAAGAAACTTATCAGTGTGATCTTCCTGCGCAGAGAAAAACTGGTTCTGCAGAAAAACTAGACATTTAAACAATAGCTGTGTGAAGCACTGTAGTCTTTTTCTCTAAATGCATTTTTTTAAATGTTACAGTAAGAATTTGTTTAATTTCTTAGATAAACATTAAAAGTTTAAAAACAATGAACAAATTAGCACATTTTGCCACTATATAACTTGTAAGAAAATATTCAACAATGTAATATTCACTGTATAGCACCGTCTCCAGTATCCTCAGTGGGGGTCAGGAGGGTTGCTGGTGCCCATCTCCAGCTATCGTTCCGGGCGAGAGGCGGGGTCACCCTGGACAGGTCGCCAGTCTGTCGCAGGGCAACACAGAGACAAACAACCATGCACACACACACTCATACCTAGGGGCAATTTGGAGAGGCCAATTAACCTGATAGTCATGTTTTTGGACTGTGGGAGGAAACCAGAGTACCTGGAGAAAACCAGATGCACAGGGAGAACATGCAAACTCCATGCAGAAAGACCGGGGCTGGGAATCGAAGCCAGAACCTTCTTGCTGCAAGGCAACAACTGCACCACTGTGCAGCCACCTTCTCCAGTAGCAGAATGTAAATATATAGAAAAAATGTCAATGTTTTAGAAGTGATTGAATTTTGGCAATTTTATTTCTGCTACATTTCAGTCAAAATGTAAAAAAACAAAAAAAAACCTAACCCAATCATTTTATAAAAAGGGCAGAACACAAAGAATCACCGCTGTTTCATAACTATTTTACTACTTTATGTTGATCTATCACATAAAATCTCAATAAAAATCATCAACGTGTATGACTGAAATAAAACAAAATGCGGAAAATTTCAAGGGATTCGAATGCTTTTGTTCCTTAAAACATTTTTATTTTTTATTTTTTGGTTTTAATTAGGTGAAAACCAGCTTTTCGCCTTTAATTAAAGGTTCAGTCACAGCGACATGTCATTTGAGAGCTGCTGCTGCTGCTGGGATCACATTTGTGGTCTGCTTTGCTTCAAGGTGATGTCAATGAACAAATAATTCTCCTAAAATAGTCCAGACGTGCTTAATGTCTTTTTTGTTTTTTTTTCCCTGCTCGTATCAAAGGATTGTCTGTGACATAAACTGTTTATGAAATTAAAGGATTGGGGGGGGTGGGGGGTGGGTGGGAGCTAAATTAATTTGTTGCATATGTGTGTATGCATGTGGCCACAGTTTGATAGCCAGAATCACTTCTCACACAACTATTTTCTCCATATGCTTTATCATACTAATAACCCTAATAGACATAGATGAATGCGCTGAACGGCCTTGCTGCGAGTCTCACTGCCAGCCGGGTTATAAATGGAAGCTTGTGAAGACAGATCAGAGCCACCAGCCTGCACAGATACGGCTGGAGCACGACCTGATAGCAGAGCTAAACACAGCACCGCTGCATTCATCCTAGTATGTTTTTGTGCACTCATGTACAATCTGTGTGAACAGCCAAGGCCATAATTAAAACAGTAATGTTCGGGGGGAGATTAGCAGAGTTCTGCGAGTAAAAAGGCTTTGTGTTCATGATTAGAAATCAGATACGGCCAACAAATCCATTTAAACCAAATGTTTACACAAATGCTTTTCTTGATTTTCAGGGGGGTGGGGGGGGGGCTTTCTCCACTTGAACCAGCAGACATATTTATTGCCCCATTTTTCTGTGAACACTTTATTTTATTTTTTTATGAAGTCGACGAAAAACTAAGTATGAGAAAAAACAGATAGGAATCAACGATGACATGTGGTTGTGGAATGTCATTATTTCGCCAAAGGATGTTATCAGTCACAAATGAATCAAGAGTTTGACTTTTTTTTTTATTTTTTTTTTTAGCTCAAGTCATTTAAAGTGGGAAGTAGGATTTTTTTTTTGTTTGCTTGTTTTTTTAAATCACTATTTGGCTGGAAATTGAGGCTTAATTCATGGCAGAACTGCTTCCACGGTCCACAATTAGAGGGTTTATTTGACTTACATTATTATTTTAGATTTTTTTAAACTTATAAAAATAAGACAGTTTGCCAAACCCTTTATGTTTGACTCAATCAGTCCAGGTCACATCATCACCATCACCTTCTATTTAATTTTTAGAAAGGGTCGGAGTGCACAGCTCAATCAGTGCACTGCAAAAACACAAACTCTTACCACACAGTTTTGGGTTTGTTTCTAGTGCAAATATGAACTTGTTTTCTGTATTTTTTTTCCCTTAATATTGATGAAAAAGTGTTTGCTCCATTGACAGATTAACAAGATATTTTTTTTTACATATTTTTGGTGGAATAATCTCCCAAAGGAACTAGAACTTTTTTGTCAATATTAAGGAATTAATTTAAAACAAGCACCCAAGTAATCTGAGAGATTACTTCTAAATGAGCTTTCTCTTATTTCAAGTGTGCTAAGACATTTGCACTAGAAACTGGAGCAGAAGTACTTGGTGAGGTTTCGTGTTTTTGAAGCGTAAAGCAGGCAGATCGTGGGCTGAAGACGTCGGTCCTGACTGCAGCTGTCCCAGGACTTCCAGTGTTCCTGATGCCATCTTCTTCCTCTGCCCACTTTCCTTTCTGGTGACTGTCAAACAAAATATGATATTGTCATGATCCAGAAATTTTTACATTTTGTTTTCCAGTTGCAATTCCTTCCCAATCATCCCAATTGACAACTGAAGAGAGTGGTGACCAAATTTGAGGCTAATGAGGTGGAGTTCTCCATATTTTAGACGTCACAACGGGTCAACGCGTCTGAATCATTGCCTCTGGGGAATGCGGCGACATGTTGAGGAAGTAATTTAGCCGTTTAATTCAGCCGTTGCAACAAGACAACACATCTAAAACCTGCAGAACACTGCAGGTTTAAAGGACCGGAGTTGGACACCCTTGACTTAAGAGGACCAGTGAGCATCTCCAGAGATCCCAGATCGTCCAACTTGGTTTTTTTTGTTGATTTAATTCCATTCTTTCCTCTCTTGTAAATACGGATTAAATAGTTGTTGCAACCTGTGTGTCAACCACATGTTTTACCCTCTCTGGGATGTACAGTAGCCTACCTGTGCTGGCAACCATCACAAAACACATCAGAACATCCCTCGCTAACATACGACTCAAAGAGTTGCTCTGACCTTGTTCTCCTGTTCCTCAGATCACTTTCTGTTTTGATGTTTAACAGGGACTAACAGAGAAAACTTGGACTTGAGTTGCACTGAACTCAAACAAAACAAAGTCTAAAACTTGGCTCGGACTCACATTTAAAATTATTGAGGTTTTACTTAGACCTGAGATCTCTGCCTTGAGTTTCATAAACAATCTGGTTCTAAATTAATCAGGGACGAAATAAGCCATTAAATAAGCCACGAGCCTCTGAAATTAATGTGTTTTATCTTTTTCAAAGGGTATTTTTGATTTATTAGAAAGGGATGTTTGCTTTTAACAGTTTACAACAATTTGTTTGTGTCAGCTGTGGCTTCACAATAAAGACCAGACAGATGTTTCTCCAGCTCTGTGTTAAATTATGCTGGGTTATTTCAAAACAAAATAAACTTTACTGACCTTCCTTTTGAGGTTCTGTTGAAAATGAGCAAAAATGGTTCAACACAAACACACACCTCCCTTTTTAGATCTTAATTTGAGCAAAAGATAAAAAAGATATAAAAACCTAATGTATTATTTCCTTCAACCTCACAATACTTAGTATCAGTTTACTTTATGCTGCTCTGTTGTGTAAAATCTCAATAGAAACCTTTAATGTTTGTGAAATTAAGTAGAATTTAAAGCCTACAGTGATGCACCATTGATGCATATTGTACTTTTACTAAATGAGCCTCAATAGCAACAGATTTCCATGTTGGATTTTATGGTCTGTGCTGAATTTTGACTTGTAGAGACCGTTTTTTGTAGAATTTCTAACTACAGACATCAACATTTTAACGTTAAAATGATTTCCATAGTTAAACCCTTTTGTCAACCCGTCATACAGTCCAAAGAATTACCATGGTTTTGTTTTTTGTGACAATAAACGAGCAGAAATTTAAGTCATCATGAACACTCAAAATGTTTTACTTTAGCCACAACTTAAAAAAAGGCAAAGTCTGGTCGCAATATCATTACGGCAAATGATAAAACGACTCCAAAGCGATTTCCACGCAGTCATGCACGCTGACTGGTGGTAAGCTACACTGCAGACACAGCTGCCCTGCGGCAGTCTGACAGAAGCGAGGTGAAAGCTGGCGCCACCGCGCCCTCTGACCACCACCGGCAGTAGACAAGGTGAGTGAAGGACAACAGGCAGAGCAGGCACAGGTTACAGGACGACCTCGTTCCTCCTGAGCCCCCATCGCCCTGACGGTTACAAGCCGTCTGTCGAGATGGTGCTATTAACTGAGGTGGTGCTCATTGCAAAAAGCTTGAGAACTACTGCCTTTAGAGTAAATAAATGTGACCAGCTGACCTGAACCTCTGGAGATCGGTGACGACGCTGTGAAGAAAGAACGGTGAAAGAAAAATTAAGCCTGCAATGAGAGTGAAATT